TGCCCCATCATTGGTGTCAGTGGATGAAATAGTGCCCCATCATTGGTGTCAGTGGGAGGAGTAGTGCCTCATCATTGGTATCAGTGGGAGGAATCGTGCCCCATCATTGGTGTCAGTGGGAGGAATCGTGCCCCATCATTGGAATACCATACTGAAATAGCATACCATATTGAAATCAAATCTTATGTTTTTTCATTTTTATTTGGTGTGCGTTGGAAGAGGGGTAGTCTTATACGGCGAGTATAGCTCAAACCCTATATTTTAACAGGAAAAGTAGGGGGTCGTCTTGTACGCCCAGTCGTCTTATACGCCGGAAAATACAGTCAGGTCCATAAATATTGGGACATCGACACAATTCTAACATTTTTGGCTCTATACACCACCACAATGGATTTGAAATGAAACGAACAAGATGTGCTTTAACTAAAGCCTGTCAGCTTTAATTTGAGGGTATTTACATCCAAATCAGGTGAACGGTGTAGGAATTACAACAGTTTGCATATGTGCCTCCCACTTGTTAAGGGACCAAAAGTAATGGGACAGAATAATAATCATAAATCAAACTTTCACTTTTTAATACTTGGTTGCAAATCCTTTGCAGTCAATTACAGCCTGAAGTCTGGAACGCATAGACATCACCAGACGCTGGGTTTCATCCCTGGTGATGCTCTGCCAGGCCTCTACTGCAACTGTCTTCAGTTCCTGCTTGTTCTTGGGGCATTTTCCCTTCAGTTTTGTCTTTTGCTATCTCTCTGATGGGTTTGTTTTGTTTTTCCAGCCTAATGATGGCTTGCTTAACTGATAGTGACAGCTCTTTGGATCTCATCTTGAGAGTTGACAGCAACAGATTCCAAACGCAAATAGCACGCTTGAAATGAACTCTGGACCTTTTATCTGCTCATTGTTATTGGGATAATGAGGGAATAACACACACCTGGCCATGGAACAGCTGAGAAGCCAATTGTCCCATTACTTTTGGTCCCTTAACAAGTGGGAGGCACATATGTAAAACTGTTGTAATTCCTACACCGTTCACCTGATTTGGATGTAAATACCTTCAAATTAAAGCTGACAGTCTGCAGTTAAAGCACATCTTGTTCGTTTCATTACAAATCCATTGTGGTGGTGTATAGAGCCAAAAATGTTAGAATTGTGTCGATGTCCCAATATTTTTGGACCTGACTGTATATAGTTTACCCAGTGAGGAAGGTCTCTTGACAGCAATGCATCGCCATCCTTTTGTTTGTTTGAAGCTGTAAGTAGGGGGGGTTAAACTGTGCCTAATGTCTTCATACTGTTCACAAGTAAATTTGATTTCTTCTGTTTACAGGGATTTATTAAAGATGTACATGAAGATTCGCTCACGGTTGTTTTTGAGAACAAGTATGTATGCTTTTATTTTTACATGCTGCACATGCTTCTGCTGAGTGTTTTTGCTAACACAGAATTGCTCTGCAATCTTTAGCTGGCAGCCAGAACGTCAGGTTCCATTCCATGAAGTTAGAATGCCACCCCTACCAGATATCAAGAAAGAAATTACTGAAGGGGATGAAGTTGAGGTAAGTTTAAAAAATATCAGCATTTTTTGGTCTTGATTAATAAAGCTTTCTTCTTTTAAAAGGGGTTTTCCACCTTTTGGAAAGGAAGCTGAAATGTATGTACCTGCTGCCTGGATTAGTTCTCCCTGTGCATTATCTTAAAGGGTGCCTTGACTGAAAGAAGGTTTAGAAACACTGCCATAGAGTGTGCTCAGTAGTTGAGTTCCCTGTCGCCAGACTCGCTTGCTGTTATGTGGGGGCAAGCAGGGGAGTGCAGAAACCTATGAAAATACTAGCTTTTTTTCTTGTACATCTCGGCACACATAGTATCTTGATCTCCATTATGATAGGGTTATGCTGCCACCTTCAGTCGAACTCTGGCAAAAAACAGGGAAATCACCCAGGCCCAACCCCCTTTCCATCAGTCAAAGCTTCAGTTTTTTTGTTGGTGTCCTATATGATGGTTAAGTCTGTGCAGTCTCTGACACCATAATGTGTGAAATTTGGACTTGCTAGGGGGTCCTGCGGCATGGACTGGTGAGTGCTCTGGGGTAGTCCCTGTTAGTACCCTCCCCTGGGTCACAAACAAAAGCATATCCCCCTCTCCTCTAACAGAAGAGGAACCAGTGGAGCACAAGGTAAAGGAAGACGAGAATGTTCTATTGGAAGGGGATGCTGAGGGCTTCTCTCCCAAGGGATCTACCCCTGAAGAACCCCAAGGTCAAATTTTATCTCCGACTCAAAAGGCCTTTTTTGTAGTGGTGTTTTTTTTTTTTTTTTTTTTTAAATATATCATTGAAGCTGTCCATTCTAATTTAAAGTTTCCACATCCCAAGTCCTCTACAGGATTTTGGTTCTGACATCCACCACAGCATCTTTAATGCTTCCTGTACATCCTCGTTTAAAGGATGTTTTGTATGCATACTTGGCTCACTCTTGCTACTGACCTTGGTGTTGTTTACTGACTATGCTTCTGCTTGGTCCTTACCTGCTATATCTGCTACTGGACCTTGGCTTGCTCATCTCCTCGTGGGGCAATCCTGAAAACTACAACCTGGTACTAACATGCAGCAAAACCCATCTCCACCATCAGGAGTTCTGGTGAATACTGGTTAGTACTTAGACTTTCACCTCGGGTGAACCCACCAGGGTGACCTGCTTGTATACCTGTCCTGCTGGTCATTGGGAGCCTCTCTACTACTATAGCTACTGACCTCTGAGCCTGACCCCTGACTGTGACAAACATACTGCAGGGAGCATTGTAAATAGTCTGTATGGATTTGTACATATTCCTATAGACATTTTGTGAACATATTGCCCCAACTGGATACAAGTACTGAAGGAAATATGGGTATGGGAAATAGTACAGGTGGCTCTCAGTTATGGCAAAGGCTGCAATGACAGTGAAGAACCAAGCAATGATTGGGAAATAGTGGTTTAACCACTTCCCCTCCAGAGGATTTACACCCCTTCCTGACCAGGCCATTTTTTATGATACGGCGCTGCGTTACTTTAAGTGACAATTGCTCGGTCATGTAATGCTGCACCCAAATAAATTTACATCCTTTTTTTTTGTTTGTTTTTTTCCCCCATGAACTGAGCTTTCTTTTCTATTTAATTGCCTGTGCGTTTTTTTTTTTTTTTTTTTTTTTTTTGCGCTATACAAAAAAAAAAAAAGACTGACAATTTTGAGAACAAAAAACTATATTTTTGACTTTTTGCTATTAAACATGTCCTGTAAAAAATACAATTTTGTCAAATTTCTGCCAAAATGTATTCTGCTACATTTTTGATAAATAAAAAATCCCAATACGTGTAAATTAATTGGTTTACGTGAAAGTTATAGCGTTTACAAATGGCGGTGTATATATACACTGGGATTTTTTTTCCTGCTAGTAATGGCGTCAATCAGCGACCTTTCAGCGGGACTGCGGCGGGCAGTCTGACGCTGGTGGGAACTAACTTTGTGTCACTGACATCCCCAGTGACTCCAATACAGTGATCAGTGCTAAAAACGGCACTAACACTGTACTAATGACACTGGGCAGAAAGCGGTTAATGTGAGGGGCGATCAAAGGGTTAACTGCGTAGGGAGTGTTTTACTGTATGTATGTATGTGTGTGTGTGTGTATGTGTGTGTGTGTATGTATGTGTATGTATGTGTATATATATATATATATATATATATATATATATATATATATATATATATAGTATGTGTGTGTATACATACGTAATGTTATTCCAGGGTTCCCGATATAAAATAGCATGTCATGTGCATATGCTGCTACTTTATGATCTACCTCCCCTATCTTAATTCCTCTAATATCTATGCTCCTTCTTAACGTTGCCAGCAGAGGTTCCAGGGATATAACAAATAATGGACATCCCTGTCTAGTACCATTCTACATTTTGAAAAACCCTGAGAGGGACCCATTTACCTTAACCGCTGCTGACGGACCGTTATAATGCTCCTTTATCCCTTTAACATCCTGGTCCCTTTCCCTAAGACCTCTAAAGTATTTATCATAAACCCCCAGTCTACCCTATCAAAAGCTTTTTCAGCATCAATCGACAATATAATTGTCAGTAACTTTTCTTTCTTTTGCCTTTTGTAGCAGGAGTAGTGTTCTTAGACTATTATCCCTCCCTTCCCTACCTGGGACAAACCCCTCTTGATCTACATGTATCCATTCCGGCATCAGTTCTCTTTTAACCTAGTAGCTAACACTTTCGCAAACCATTTTGTGTCTGTATTTAATAAAAATATGGGTCTATAACTGGCGCATTGTGAACTATCCTTCCCTTCTTTTAGAATAATTGTTATATGCGCCTGCAGCAATTCTTCTCTTATTCTCATTCCCGCTCCTAATGCATTTATATATGTATTGAGTTTAAGGACCAATAATTCTCTACATTTCTTATAAAATCCCACCGTATACCCATTGGATCTTGGGCTCTTTCCTCCTACTGCATTTTTCAGGGCGGTATTGATTTTGTCTTGGGAGATCGCTTGTTCTAGAGACACTAACTTTTCTTCTGATATTTTTGGAAAATCTGCCTTCAGATATTCCTGCCTTTTTTCCTTTTTTCTTCCTTTCTAAATTTCTGATTCTTAGAATTCACATCATACAATCTATTATAGTATTTTTGAACATTTTGGCAATATCAGTGGTGGAATACACCAGTTCTCTTTTTTTCATCTTTATTTTCTCAATATAGTTCGATTTCTTTTCCTTCAGTCTTTTCATCAGGTATTTTTCTGGTTTATTCCCCCACCGATATCTTTCCTTCGACACCCTATTGAATATCTTCCTTGATTCTTGTCCCAATAGATCTTTTAGCGCTTCTCTTTTAAGTATGATCTCTGTATCCTGTCTTTTTTTTTTTTTTTTTTTTTTTTTTTTTTTTTGGTCGCCGGTGCTATCAGAATTCCCCTAACATAGACCTTATGTGCCTCCCAAACAGTAGCCACCAAAACTTCTTCGGTTTCATTTTACAGGAAAAATTGCTCAATTTCCTCCTTTTTAACCTTTTCTCTATTTCAGGATCTTGTATAAGTGTCTCATTTAATCTCCATGTAGCCCTCTTATTCCCTTCTCCTTCTACTTTAGTCTCACTGTGACAGGAGCATGATCCGAGATAGACCTAACCTCTATATTAGATTTAACCAATGAGTCCAATTGTCTATGCTCGATCATTATATAGTCGTGAATATGATCTATGCGTTAGAGCAAAGAAGGTATATTAACCTTTTTCTCTGAGATGTTTCACCCTCCATGTATCTATTAGCTGATATGATGTAACATTTTTTTTCAACATCCTTAGTTTTTACCACCTCCTCTCTGCACATTCAAAGACGGAATCTGACGTGGGTCCTTCACACTATCGATTCCTAAATTGGGGTGTGACTCTGGATACACACACCTACTCTGCCCCCTCTCCCATGGCATAGGGGATCTAGAATTTAGGAGCAAGTTTAATCTCCAAACATTCCCACCATTTCCTACTAATCTTCCTCATAGGTCCTGCTGCTTATCTAACCCTTTATCCAATTAGGGAATCATGCTACCAGTGGGGAAAAAGAGAAAGGAAGGAAAGAGAGGAAAAAAATAGAGGGGCACCAAAAAAAAAAGCAAGGGGGGGATACAGGTGTAGCTAATCCCCCACCACTTCATATTCTCCTCCTTTTAGAAACCCTCTGCCATTTTTCTCTTCCAAGCCCCGTCCCCTCTTAAAACCCCTTTTCCAATCCTCAATATCCATTTCCTGTAAATCTAATTTTTCACAAAAGTCACTTAGTTCTTCTGGGGATCTCAGTCTTGCAGATTTCCCATCTTTCCACCCAATCAGACAAGCTGGAAAACCCTGGTTATATCGAACTTTCTTCTCCCTCATCTGTTCCAACAGCGGTTTCAGGGCTCTTCTCCTGGCTAATGTCTCAAATGAAATGTCGGCAAAAATTAGCAATTTTATTTCTTCATATTTTACTTCAGTGGTCTTGCACAGTTTTTTTTTTTTTTTTTTTTTTACATATTCTTTCTCTATCTTCATAATAGTGGAAAAGAACAATCACATCCCTGGGGGACTCTGCCGCTACTCCTTGCGGGGGTTGAGTTTTCGGGGCTTTTCTCCTGCAGTGGTAGATATTTCCTTATTGTGCTAGTATTTGCATTTGATTGGGTTTTTTTTGCTCCTCCCCCCTTAACCGCTTTACTCATCTCTCTTTAGGCTTTATCACTGGGTCGTCTAGTAATACAAAAACGCTATGTTATGTTCCCCACTAAATGTCTCTATCTTTTCCTTCTGTTGGTCTTTACAGTCCCCTCTGTACTAATTTAGGAGCGGGAGTGAATTGAGCTGTTCCGCCAACCACTTAGTACCCCAGCCATACAGTCCTCTGTTACCCCCCGCAGTTCAGATATGCTTAATACGACTAACACAGATATTGTGCATAACAGAGATTCGAATGTCCTGCCGTTACCCAGGGCAGCTCACCACCTCCTTCCAGCAGATTAGGACCGTTCAGTCCCAGTTTACACTTTAGGATCCGAGCCTTGGCCTCCGAACCGACTCTCTGTAGTATTGTCGAGGGAGTCTCTTAGCCTCAAATGTCCAGGGGTATCTCAGGGCTGCCTGCGGACGGGGGGTTCGCCTCAGATGTCCTGCCTCTTCTTCATCCTCGGAGCAACCCCGCTCCCCGGCCCCCGGACTTTCGAGCTTCGAGACTTCTGTTCTCTGTCCTAGTCACATGGGCTCTCCCACCATCCCCATCACCTCTGATGCCGCCGCCTCCCTGGTGCACTTCACTGGCCACCGCCGACCATCCGCCCACACTGGGACTCCACACCGGCGGGGCCCATAATGCCACCAGCTACCTCACAGGACACACAAAGGAGTCCCGCGACCATCCACATCGACCCAGGTACTTTCAGAGCCAATCTCAGCAGATCAGGGACCACTCATGCAGGCGTCTGGAGCTCCTGCTCTTCATGGCGTCATGTTCAGACCACTCCCCATTTTGCAGATATCTCTAGATTTATCATCAAGCCACCCCTTCTCTCCATATCATTAGGCACAGCAGTAAGAACCAGCAAGCCCTCAACCAAACAACTCAACAAGCTCCAAAGTGCAAAAATTTAACAAACAATCATCATGCTGTACCTCTTTAAAATTCTGCTTTATTCAAATGATTAAAAAAATTACACTTACAAAGAGTGCGATGTGTTTTCCTGATAAACAATAGTATGTTCGCTTTAAAATTATTAGTGCATTGGTCCCTTAAAGCCTGGAGATCGGCATGACCTCTGTAAAAACCTCTGACCACTTCCGGGTTTACGTAGTGACGTCAAAAGCTCCGCCCAGTACGTTTAGTCACTTCCTCATGGCTAAACCTGTTTTGTCCAATTTACCATTATCAAAAGTAGAGGAAAATCCCAAATTTCAGGTTGTCCCCAGAATAGTAATAGAGGGAATGGAGACAATAGTTCTGGTGACACCCCAGGATTCCCTCAGTTTGGAGGCATTACCTCTCACTTCCTGTTTTGGCTATATAACCAAAAGTGAAATCTCCCCAGTGGGATGCAGATGTCAAAAAAGAAAAACTATAGGGGGTTATAACCCTCCTTTTTACATTATCCAAAATGAATACGGTTTTGCCTTTAGTTACACTTTAATGTAACAGATACATGTAAAATGTTAGTAGTTATTCTAATGTTATGGGTTTGTTTATTATGAATGAAGAATTATCTACACATACTCTTGTCTTTTTATAGGTTTACTCCAGAGCCAATGACCAAGAACCTTGTGGATGGTGGCTTGCTAAAGTTCGAATGATGAAAGGGGAGGTAGGTTATTCATTTTATTACTGTTTCTGAATGATCATTCCGTTTAATTATCCATTGACCTTCACATCCTACTGGTTTGACTGCAAATGTTATAGTTCTTGGAAGGTTTCGGTTGTTTGGAGAATGATAATGGATGATTATTATCATCAAAATACCCAACCCATGATTTGACTCCACTAAAAGGTCTCATCACTACCAACTCGCTTGCATTCTGAGGAAAAAAATAATAGCAAGTTATAGGAGAGGCTGAAGGCCTGCTTTAAAGCAATACTTAAAGGTTCAGTGTTTTTGCCTTTGTTTCTTTTGTTAAAAATAACAAGCATGTCATACTTGCCGGCTCTTTGCAGTGGTTTTGCACAGAGCAGCCTGGATCCTTTTCTTCTCTGTTCCGCAGCTGGAGCTCCTGGCTTCTCCTTCCTGTCGGGTGCCCCCATAGTGAGCAGCTTGCTATGGGGGCACCCAAGCAGGCACGCTCCTGAGCCTGCTGTTTATTCACAAACGGAGCAGCTGCTTGGCCCCGACCCCTCTGTCTCCTCATTGGCTCACTGGCTGTGTTGGACAGCAGCGGGAGCCAATGGCTTCCACTGCTGTCTCTGCCAGTGAGGAGGCAGAGACCCGGGACAGCTGAGGTTCTCGTGCACATCGCTGGATTGCAGGTCAGGTAAGTACTGGGGGAGCTGCTGCACACAGAAGGGTTTTTTATTGTTTTACCTTCATGCATAGAGTGCATGAAGGTAAAAAACCTTGAGCCTTTACAACTTCTCTAAGGCCTCATGCAAACTGCAGCTCCTATACTCATGTTTAGGAGCTTTTGGCTTTTTTTGCCAAAGCCCCGGAACTTAACTCAGTAAAAGCCTGTGTGTCCATGCCCACATAAGCTTTACCAGAGTTTAGGGGCAGTAAAATGCTTCTCTCCTGAACACAAAAGAATCCTCTTCAGGAGAGCAGCGTTTTGACAGAAAAACACCAAACGCAGCAAAAATACGTGTAAATGTGTGTTAACGCTGGGTGCGTTTTTAATGTTTGGGCAATTTTTTAATGTTCATTTCAACATAAATTATTCTGGCCAATGAAATGAATAAATGGCCAAGCTCTTGACGTGGGTAAACACATGTTTATGCGGTACACACGTTTACCGGCATCAAGCGTTTTTTACTGCTAGAAGAAAAATGTCCAAGGCAGTTGTCAGCATTAAGTGTGTGCATGTACCTCAAGTGTATGATTATTGCTGTGGGCTGAAAAATAGCATCACATTATGCAGATTTATTTATGGCACACCTGGTGAACAAACTCCTTACGAGCACACACCAAATATTGCTATATTGAAGATGTTTTCATCATATGGCCAGAAAGGGAAGAAAATGAGGGGGGGGGGAGAAAAGCCACCTGTTAATGTTTCACATTTCGGTCAGAATCAAAATGGACTATTCAAGTATCTCTGAACTTCTAAACACCAGAGCATCTCCTGGCGATGACAAAACTGCACACCTCAATATACTGGAAACCCATTGACTGCTCCAACTGTTGTCACAGTTTCAGCTTCTCCCCCTGAAAACCAAACAGGCCATCATACACGTTCAGGCCACTAGATACTTTGTAGGTTCTGACCCAGAAAGTTAAAAACAATATGTGAGCATTTTAGCAGAATGCTTTTAAAACCGGTTACAGCAACAAAACTATTAGTATGATCCTAAATGCTGCCTTGAAAATCCACAAAGAGTATCTATCTTTTACGATCTAAAGAGAAAAACAACTGACCTTATAGTTTTAGTGACCACAGTCTAGTGTTAGAAGGGATTAGAAACCTAATCAAAAAGGTGCAAATCCTCATAAGAGGATGAAACACTGAAAGAAATCTTCCTAAAAACCCCCAATGCTGATCTTATGGCAACCACCCAATCTCATACATAATATAATAATCGGTAAATGATACTTTGATTACAGAGACTCAAGAGAAAATAACAATGCAATGATAAAGCCTGAAAACTATGAAACCACATACATTAAAAAGTGGCACACACAAAAGGAACCTTCAGTATTATGTAGCTGCCTCCAGTAATGTGGTGTACCTCATTCAGCGCCATGTTTATACTGGTAAAACAGGATAGAAATTACAAAAAAGAATGAAACCCCATATAACAACACAAAGAAGATGGTTACGGCGCACTTTTCACAGCTAGACCATTCTTTGAAAGCATGAATGTTTTGGTTGCAAATTCCATTTGACATATGAGATAATGGACTGAATGTGGACCTCTAAATCACTACCTAACGATTTTATGACCCTTCCCTTTGTGAATCTCCAGCATACTCCCATCCCGCACCCCCCTTCTTGCTTGTGTTACCTTCTGTGTATCCTTCCACCAGGGACTGTTTTGCAGATTTCTTTTACCGTGTGCATCAACACTGCTTGGACTTTTCAAAGAAAGGGGTAGACCCCAAAACCTTGTGTGAAAATTCTAGTGTGATTTGTAAAGCTTTTTTTTTTTTTAATTATTATAACACGTCATACTTACCTGCTCTGTGCAACAGTTCTGCATAAAATAGCCCTGATCCTCCTTTTCTGGGGTCCCCCCGAGTGTCCCCTTGTGGTCAGTCATGGGAGTTTGCTCCCGAGCCACCTTTGTGTGTCTTCCAAGATACACAGAGCGTGGCTTAGCCCGCCCCTGCTCCCTCCTAACTAGCTGTGATTGACGGCAGCAAGGGCCAATAGCTTCTGTTGTCTCTAAACCAATGAAATGTGAGAGAGTCTTGGCTCTTGTGCACATCACTGGATCATGCTTGGGTGAGTATAAGTGGGGGCTGGGGATGGGGAGCTGCACTCAGGTTTTTTACCTTCATGCATAGACTGGTTGGTTTTAAAGGTAATATTTTTCATCTTAATGCACTCCCCTCAAATACTTATCTGAGCCCTCAATCAATCCAGTACTGTAAATGGCTGCCTCTCTTCTCTCCCTCTACTCAGGGACTGATGCAGCAGCAGGAGCCGTAGGTTCCTTTTGACAGTCAAATGCTGTAAGTAGAGAGCCATGGGCAGGGCTGAGTGGCACTGTGTGTCAGTGGACGCACACAGCCCAGCTTGGGATTGAGCCTGCATGTCTGCCCTCATAGCAAGCGGCTTGCCATGTGGTTAGATACAAAATGTTATGAGTAGAGAATGCCAGTGGGGAACCCATGGTTCGGGCTGCACTGTGCAATACCATTGCGCTGAACAGGTAAGTATAACATTATAATAATATTTAATTAATACAAAAAACTTTAGGAATGCTTTTACGGTTTGTGCAAATGAAACAAAGTATCTTGGACAGTTCTCAACTGTGTCTATAGAAATCAGGAGATGTTCCACTGTAATAAAATTTGTAGTGTGAGATTGAGTGGTGAATGTATAATTGTTTTGATCGCTTTATTTTGTTATATATTTTCAGTTTTATGTTATTGAATATGCTGCTTGTGATGCTACCTACAATGAAATTGTCACATTTGAGCGGCTTCGACCTGTGAACCAGAACAAGCCTGTCACAAAGAATTCTTTCTTTAAATGCATGGTGGACGTTCCAGAAGACCTGAGAGAAGCGTAAGTTGCCTCAGTCATCACCTTTCCGCGATCCATTTATTTACGTATGTATTCTGTTTATAAAAGTGGAACTTTAGTCAGAAAATTTAAGTCTTGCTAGATCACTTTAGGCTGGCCCCTTTTGCAGGTATAGCTATGTAAAACATTAAAAATAAGTGCCTGTACTAGTTAAAATCTAGTAATACACTGTCTCTGCACATGCTCAGTTGCTCTCCATTTTTAGGCATTATGCCCAATTTTAGAGGCCGATCTGCTGTCAATCTACAGATTAAAGTGGAACTAACTTGTCCGTTTAAAAAAAAAACAGACCTCACTCACACCATGCATACAGAAAAACTGATGGAAACTGACATGTATACACTTGCAGAGACATCCTCTTTCATGCACGCTTCAATTAATTTTATACACTTTGCAGATTCCTGCACAGAAAAAAAATCTGCACGTGATGCTAGTGTTGCGGAGTGAACAGGGCACAATTGATGACTGATTTTGTTGTGCCCTTGCAGAACATGTACAGAAAAACTGACGTCTCTGCACCATTGTGTGAATGAGTCCTTATATTCCCGGCATGTCAGGAATGCTAACTGTCACATTTGCTTTTGTTCTCAACCAAACTGTTGAACCATCAAATGACTGATGTTCTAAATGATCACATGTTCAGCATCATTGCAGTTGCAGATCAGACAGATGGCAGCTTCCTTGGCTGAAAAGGATAGGAGGGTTTAGTTCTGCTGTAACTGCTGCTTAGGGCTTCAACAAAATGGCAGCCTCCAGCAAGAAGAAACAGGAACAATGCTGGAGGCAATTTACAGCACACACTATTTTTGGTAGCATAATTATTAATGTGCATTGTATGTTAACCCCTTGGCGCCGGCGCCTCCCGGCCCATTAAGGGTTTCAGGAGGCGGGGTGGGATTTAAGGTCATGTGACCACCGTGACATGCGGTCACATGATCAGGAAAGGTCCTGATTAAAAGAGGAGATCGGGACCTTTCCGTGAGTACCGGACGTGTGCTCTCAGCACGTTTTTTTTTTTTTTTTTTTTTTTTTTTTTTTTATTCAATAGAACACAAATTTGTGGCCGCTTGGCGTCTAGACCCAGACGCCGGGAGGCCGCACATTTGCGTTCGGCCAGTGTGAAGAGGTTAAAGAACATTATTTTTTATTATAAGTCAAGTCCTGCTTTTAAATGTAGCATAAACTGTATTCCTTGAAAATTTGTCACATATACCAGTGTCGCATTTCCATTCTAGAGAAATTTTATTTATGAAATATACCTAAACTGCCACATTTGAATAGAGCTGTTGGCTAAATCACTGATGAGCTTGATAGAACAACAGTCTCTCAGCTGTGTTTTGACATACCTCTGCTGCAGGGTAGCTGTAGTTCTGTAATCAATAAGGAGGGTAAGCTTTCCTGATTGCCAAGCTCTGTCACTCAGTGGGTGGGGGCGTAACCGACTGTGGCTCTGTGGCTGAAAGATTCCTGCATTTGGGCAGAGAGCAGTAGTCCCCTGAAACTTGCATCTAAGTGAAGAAGAGTTTGAACTGGCATATGGGTCTTGTAAAGAAGATTAAGCCAATTATAAATCCTAATATTTTAATCATACAGTACAGGACACAGGCTTTGGTATTCTTAAACCCCAGGTTATAGCCTTCAGGTGGTTGGAAGGTTTAAAGGCTAAAATCACCTTGCAGAAAAATATTTGCATTTATTTTTTCCTGCATGGGCTTGCAAAGCATTGCACCTGCAATCGGTGGGTCACAGGTGCAGTATCAAGCTCCTGCAGACAAGCCTTACAGCTTTTAGCCTGTACCTCCTGTATAGGCTGTCAGTTTGAAAGCTGCAGGGTTTCTGAATGAACTACGACTGTGCTAATTCGCTTCCTGGCAGTTCATTGAGAACCACAAGCCATCTGCCACAGTGGCAGACAGGATATGTAGTTCTCTTTCACAGATTCCTGTAAATGAATAATGCGGCTATGTGGGTGGAGCCCTGCACAACTGCGCTGTTTTCGAAATGCAGGAACCTCTGCCCGCTGTCACGGGGTGTAAACTGTTTCAAAAGGTTTACATATCCTTTAAAGTTTTTGAGCACACACCCCCTGGGCATCCCCCCTACCCTACCCTACAACCCTACCCCACACAGTGAGTCCTTGGTTTTTTGCAAGTGTACTAAGATGATGGACCTCTTCTACCTCTATAGAGAAATTATTCTTAACTTTTACTTTGGATGCATCTGGATTGTTAAAACCTTGGGAGTTCCTGGAGCACGCTGTAGAGATGACCTGTAATGTTGCTTCGTGCACTAGATCCTGCTTGGGTTCAGACCTCGGCACTTGATGCAACGCATATAGTTAGACCACAGCATGCTATACCAGTCCAGGGCCACAGTTCATTCCTATGGAACCCAGACCCTGAAGACCCCTTCAGAGGTATGCCCACTGTAACAAGTGAAGCCTGGACCATACAGGGAGTGGTGATGTGGACAGTTAAAACAGGGTCACCCTATTTGACCATTGATGCAGCCCCATAGCAAGTATGAGAATTAATATCTCTGCTACTTGCTTTACACTTTTGTGTATCTTTAATAGCATTTGTTTATACATTAAAACTAAATCAGGAAATTGTGAATGTGTTTGAAACTTATTCATTTCTACAGTTTCAAATCGAACTAAAATCCCACCATTCAGAGCTTAGTCTCAGGTGGATGACCAGGAGTTGCACGACACCACAGGTCACACCGTTTACTGCCACTTCTGCCTAGTGTCTTTTATAAGGGACTCTGGTGCTTTCTCCTCCCTACAGGAGGTTTAATATTGGGATAATGTATACTCCACAGATGCACTTGCCCCATTTCCGCATGCTACTCTGTGAGTACCCCAGTAGGGAATACCCTTACTGACCGCAAAGGTGTAAACCAGGAGCAAGGGAACCTCAGTAAAGTTTCAGGCAAACATTTGATCTGCCAAAGGCCTGAAAAACAGTCCCAACTGCTTCCAAATATAACAACGATGTCTGCTTCCATTTATGGCTCAATTGCACGCATGCAACAAGTAGCCTACCTAAGGCAGACCTTTCTGCAACTATGCCACAGTTTCTTGTGCAACGAATGGCTTAAATACAGCCATCACTGTCCAGGGCTCAAAAGTGCCAGGCTCCTTCTCCACTCCCCACAGTCTCTACTGGCATTTTAAAGTCTAATGCCTTCTCTAAAGATGCAGAGATTGAGGGGAATGAAGATGAATTGGAAGCACTGTTGGAAGCCTCAGCAGATTCTCACCCCCGGGCTTCTATACACATGATGTTACAGCTTCATGCAATATGCATGCCAATATTGATATGCTCACTTCTGCTTCGTACAAAAGCCCTCCGCATTGTCTCACTTGATTCTCCTGTGTCTTACCACCCCTCTGGGGTACTTGGAGACCTGCTAAATCTAAAAAGTAATTCCACATTTATGAACAAGTCGAATGAGCAGTTTTTGACGATTGGGTCAGTCCTGGAAGATTGTTTTTACTTCTCTGGTAATCATTGCTAGAACAGTGAAATTTCTTTTTCTTTTTAGATTTTGAGAGTTTTGAAGTATTGGATTTAGACCAAAAACAAATTATACTGGCTCTCTGCTATGTCCCTTCAGCACTCACTGGAGTCCTGGGCTCTGCAGGGGGTGGGAGCTTGCTGAGAGGCTGAACCAGCTGCCAGTTCATGCTTCTGGATGGCTATGTGACATCAGCCGAACTGCGCTCCTGTGATCCATCAAAATACAGCCAAAAAACCACTCCAAAAAACTATCACTAATGCTTGTAAATTAGGTCCCCATGATGGCTGAAGATGCTAAAAATGCCTTGTGAATCAAATTAGTTTGTCTATGTAACATTGCCAGTAATGTGTAATAGTGCATTTCTGTTGTTTTTAGCAGGATTGATTAGTCCTGCTCTAGCTCGTATGGCAGCATGGCTCTAGTCCCGAAAGGTCTAAAAAGGTCTTTGGGACTGTTGCCTATTTTTGGAGATATATAAAATCCTGTTTGACTACTGTAACCAGATTGTGGCTTAGGAAGGGGCAAATTGGTTTTCAGTGCCAAGAAGCCTGTGCTGGTATTTCTCAACATGCATAAGTGTGCATCTACATATCAGAATCCTAGTGCTTGGCTTATATCCCACATATTCTAAAAGGAATTTTGTCAAGTGAAGTATAAAGGCTGTCATTGCTGTTCTTTTGTAAATGCTACTTGCCTGTTCGAGACTTCAGTACTTTAAATCACAAATATAGAACCAGCATACTGTAGATAAGTGTCCGAATTCCTTGTCTCTATACTTGTTCCAGGCCAATAAGTCCATGCATTGAAGCCAAAGTATTATAGGAAGAGTAGCCATGGCATGTCCTAAATTTATGTTGTGACAGCACCACTGTTAAAAATACAGATCTCCCTCTACATCAGTTAATGTGTTACTAAACCCAGGACCTTATATTCACTAGATCTGGTCTCCCACGGTACACAGAACATGGAAGTTCAGTTATTTTAGTAAATATAAACTGCTAAATACCTTTTCTCATCAGCATTTAGAGCAGTCTTGTGACTTCTATCAGTGTTCAGTAGAGCACTGGTTAAAGCTTGTAGGAGTTTTCTTTCTGCTTTAGGAGGAGAAGAAGAAGAAGATTTGCTAATCATTGCATTTTTCGTTTTTATGTAGATCTTACAGTGTCCCAACTTTTTTGGAATTCGGGTTGTACATTAAAGTGGAGGAAATGTGTATATACACCACTATTGAAGATTAATGCAAACCGATAGATACCAACTCTGGGCTCTGTGTATGCAGACACAAACATGGTTTAGAAAGGTGACATTTGGCCACATCTCTAGCGCTTCATTGTTGGTCCAACTTTTGGTGGGGTGCTTCACTTGACCAATAGTGAGGTGCGGGAAGGAGCTAGGTGAAGAATTGGCATATACCATACATGACTGTTTCAGGAGCTCCTGCTCAACTTTGACGATGCATGAACTTTGAGCAAGCATGGGTGCCTACACTAATATTTTCGTGGCAGTTCATATTCTTTACTACAAGTATACTTGAAAGTTGCATATTTTCATAAACTTTTTTTTTTTTTTTTTCAATTACACAGGTGTGCCAGTGAGGCTGTGCATAAAGAATTCAAGAAAGCTGTAGGAGCATGCCGTGTGTATTTTAATGCAGAATCTAATCAATTAATTATCTTGGTAAGGATGCATATCTGCTTACATTTATTGCTTGTGTGCAGCCAAATTGTTTTATGCAGCCAGTACGTAAAGTGGACCTATATTGTTAAGATGAAATCTGAGCTTTTGTAAAAATGTAGCTTGGTTATACTTAAGAAATGTAGATATTTTGGAAAGTTGGGCATTTGCCTCCCCTTTGTAGCCCATCATATGACTATTGCCTTGGCATTAGTGCTATGGTTTATGCTAAGGTAGTCTGGGGGAATGGTGTTAGACTGAGCTGGCCATTTGAAGGCTCTTCATAAATTGTAGTCCTCTGTTGGCAGAAACAATGTTTTATATAGTATTTTAACTCTCATGACGGAGGTAAAACAAATCTTAACGCCCGAGCATATTTTGAAACTGACATGTATTGTTAAAACTGTACATCACAACTACTTGTGTATCCAGGTGAATTATACCTTGTTTTTTTCAGGACAAATTGGGCTTTTATTTGGTGGTAAATGGTAATGGATAGCTCTTAATTTATTTTTTTTTGTTTAATTATTATTACTAAAGGAAAACTGGCACAAAATATAAAAAAAAAATACATTTTTTAAAATGTAGCCATATATTTCATTCTATTACTATAACGTACCACCATCAGTTGAAATAGTGCAGCGCCGAATAGCAAAAATTGGCCTGGTGATGAATGGGGGTAAATCCTCTGGATGGCTAGTGGTTAAAGTGAATTTTTAGAAAGCTTTCACATTTTGCGAGTATACAGTTACATGTCTGATATTAAAATACATCTACAGATTTGTACATTGGCTACTATAGAGCTTTCGGTGTAGTGACACCTCTCTGATATGAGATCAGCCACATAGGGAGTGCAGTTTTTTTTTTTTCCTTTTTTCTTTTTTTTTTTTTTTTTTGGCAAGAAAAGCAGGAAAACACGAGTATAGGCACTGCAAGGCACAAAGCAAGCTGCATATGAAATAAGCAAATGTTAACTGCGTTATTGTAGACACATTACATTTTTAAAGTATTGCTGTCTCTAGGAAATTCTGATGACTGGTTACATGAGGTTGCTGGTTTTAGTCATTTGCAGACACTATTATATGTTGTCAAATGTGTGTTTCTCACATTGAGTCTGTTTTTATTTAAAGTCTGCAAGTGAAGCAACGGTGAAGCGGGTAAATATTCTAAGTGACATGCACTTACGCAGTATTCGCACAAAGCTGATGCTTATGTCAAGAAATGAAGAAGCCACCAAACATTTAGAAGTAAGTGAAGCCTTTGATTTAATGCACTATGATCACTTGTTATCATTGGCGATACATGTTGAGATCTGTTCAATATTGCCATCCTCACCAGATATATATAGTTTTTACATTAGGGGTCCTCAGGGACCAGTGGGATTCATGTATGCATTGCGTGTTGCTAAGTAACTTTTTTTTTTTCTTTGTTTTTTTTTGTTTCTAGTGTACAAAGCAACTTGCAGCAGCATTTCACGAAGAATTTGTTGTCCGAGAAGATTTAATGGGACTGGCAATAGGTACACATGGAAATAACATTCAGCAAGCCAGGAAGGTTCCAGGTATCACAGCTATCGAATTAGAAGAAGACAGTGGGACTTTTCGAATCTATGGTGAGGTTAGTATCTCCCTAACAATTTATTTTGGTCCTAATTCTTCTTTTTTTTTTTTTTTTTTTTTTTAATGGCCTTCGTGGGGAATTTGTCAGCCTGATACTTTAATAAGCTCATATAAAGGGATACCAGGACAGCGTCTTCACAATTAAATTGTATCTACAGTGATTTTTTTTTTTTTTTTTTTTTGTTCTGAATGTCCTTTTACTTCTCTTCCAAAGTAACAAAAACGGAGAGGCAACTTTCCAAAGTGGGGGTAGAAACCCTTTTACACACTTGTTGACCCCTCACCTCTTGTTCTGGTGACAACTAAAACATTTTGAGTTTCCCAGTAATAAAGGTTATGAGTTCAAAACCTTCCTTAACTATCCAATTAAAAAATGCCAGACCCAATCATGTGACACCTTTTTTTTTTTTTTTTTTTTCTTTAATACAGTATCAGTAATATCTAAATCATGTGGAATCAGCTACCGCTAGTTTGACCATTTTACATATTACCATTAAAGAGACTGTAACGTTTCATTTAAAAAAATAAAAAATTGTAATAGTAGAACAACTTGATGACCAGGCATTTTTCTGACACTTTTTTTGTTTAGCAAAAAATACTGATTTTTACTTGTACATAATTACTTAGAATCCACAAACATTTTTTTTTTCTTTAGCAGAGGCCCTAGAAAATAAAATGTAGAGTTTTGCAATTATTTGTCACACTTTATTTGCGCAGAGTGCAATTTTTTTGGAACAAAAATACATCTTGAATGAATTTTAATGCACACAAATACAATACAATACCCAATTATTTGGTAAAATATAAAAGATGGTGTTTCGCCAAGTAAAATATACCTAATATGTCACACTTTAAAATTGCGCATGCTCCTGGAATGGTGACAAACTATGCTGCCATAGGTGTTGCTTTAAAAGCCTTTACATGTTACCAGTTTAGTTACAGAGGAGGTCTGGTGCTAGAATTATTGCTCTCACTCTGACATTCGCCGCTTGTAACTCGTGTTTTGTGATTGTGGTTTACATATGCGCACGGGACAAACGTGTGTGTGTGTGTGTTAGTCTTCGGCCGGGGGGACAGGGATGCTTTAAACATGGCCTATAAATGCCATTCAGTGGCTTACTAGTCACTCAGATAACTTTTAGTTAAAAGCCGGTACAACCAGGTAAAGCCAAATGATGTACATGTATGTGATTTGGCGTCAAGTGGATAATGTAGTAATATGAAATACCTTTTAAAACAAAGCCCTCCAGCAGCGCATTTTCACCGCTGACAGGGCTTTCATCTTCACCTGGCCTTACTTCTGGGTTCACGGACTCCGGCCGAGCCGCAATGACGTCACTCCCACATACGGGTGTCACGGCTACGGCACCGAGCGCTGACGGGACAGCATGAGTATACTGTCCATTCGGAGCTCATGCGCTAGGCTAAGAAACCTTGAATATCTTCTAATCTGTGTACATTTTGGAAATATTCCTTGTACCTACAGGTAATGTATTATACGGCAATGTATTATACGCTTACCTTACACTTACAAGTGTACAGCGCTGTTTACTACTGCTTTATTAGCAGCCATATACTTCAGAAAGATATTTCTTGGTTGTTTTTAGCATACAGATTTTAATGCCATATTAATGTCTTGCGCAAATTTTAAGTTAAAACATTTGCTTGCTTTTGTAGAGTGCAGAGGCTGTAAAGAAAGCACGGAGTTACTTGGAGTTTGTAGAGGACTTTATTCAGGTTCCCAGGAATCTTGTTGGTAAGATTGTTTTTGCGGTGTGATGTTTTGACGTTTTTAAATCCTAGAAAATTAGTGACGGCGTGTCCCCATGTCTTATAATGAAATAATGTAACGTGCACCTGCTTAAGGATTGAGTGAATCGGTGCTAAATTGTTTCTGTGACAAGATTACAAATTCTTTTGCTTGTATATAATTGTGGCTCATATCTTTCAGGAAAAGTCATTGGCAAAAATGGTAAAGTCATTCAAGAAATTGTGGATAAATCTGGAGTTGTACGGGTGAGGATTGAAGGAGACAATGAAACAAAGCTACCCCGTGAAGATGTGAGTTTGGAAATTTTTTATTATGACTTTGAAAATTTATTTTTTTTAAATTATTTTTAGATCTGTTCCTGTTAAATGTATTTGACCAAATTTATTCTCTGTTGTCTGGCTTGTGTTTTTATCTCTGCAGGGCATGGTTCCATTTGTATTTGTAGGAACAAAGGAGAGCATTGGAAATGTTCAGGTTCTTCTAGAGTATCACATTGCCTACCTTAAAGTAAGTTTAAACATTTTAGCTTATGACCTTGAGAATAACATTTGGTGATTGAAAGAAAAGTAAATGTTTTCTTGTTCTATTTTAAAAAATCAGGAGGTAGAGCAACTAAGACTGGAAAGACTTCAAATTGACGAGCAACTTCGTCAAATTGGTATGGGCTTCCGGCCATCATCAAGCAGAGGAACAGAAAAAGAAAAGGGTTACGCAACTGATGAAAGTACTGCCTCTTCTGTCCGTGGAAGCCGGTCTTACAGTGGAAGGGGCCGAGGACGTAGGGGCCCAAATTACACGTCTGGCTATGGTTTGTTTTTTCTATTTCTTTGCCTTGAGTTATTTTTCCAGCCTTGAATAGTTTGATCATAACTTCAATTACAGCAAAGTAATAGGATACACTAGGCACTAAGAAAAGTGATACTTGTACCTTGGATACTCTTATGCTCAGTTTAATCAGTAGATTGTAGTTTCTGCACAAGGGTCACAAGCGTTGCACATACGTATTTATGGTACAAACTATTTCTATTGCCCATAGCAGCCAATTTGATTTTCTCTTTTTGTGTTCCATGGTAATATTGGAAATTGAAAGGGGGAATCTTATTGGTTGCTTTTTTCAGTTAAACCTATACACAATGCCAAAAGTTGCTTGCAGTTGATCTGATATTTTATGGCTACAATGCTGTGAAACAGACTGTACAGAATCCAAAGGGTTCCCTGAAGAGTTGTAGAAAGCCACAGGTTAAACACCTGAATTATTTGCATTTCCTTGCACCTTCTACACCCAAGGATTAGCACATTCTCTATACTTGTTTACCAGTGTCTTTCACATTTTTGTGATTGAATTTAAGCGCATCCTCATTTTAATATACATATTAAGTGCTGGTTATCTTTTTTTTTTTTTTTTTTTTTACCTTTATCTTTTGTGGGAAAATGTATAAATTGCTTTTCATTCAATTGCATTCTTTCCTTGCCATTGCAAGTCTTTTGAATTCACATTTTTTCTTCATCTTTTTTACAAGGTACAAACTCTGAGCTGTCCAATCCTTCTGAGACGGAGTCAGAAAGGAAAGATGAGCTAAGTGACTGGTCACTAGCTGGTGAAGATGATCGTGAGAGCCGCCAACAGAGAGACAGCCGAAGGCGCCCTGGAGGCCGAGGTCGAAGTGGATCTGCTGGACGAGGGCGTGGTGGATCTAGGGGTGGCAAATCTTCTATTAGCTCTGGTACATTTATTCTATTTTATTTTTACACACTCTGGAAGGTAAATGCAGTCCAGTTTACACTTCTGTGGAGTCCTTTGCTTGATATTCTTCTGTGAAAACTCAGTTGATAGTAGCAGTCCTACTGCAGCAGTTTGCATTCCTTGCATATTGCTTGAATTGTCCTAGCTAACCAAACGTTGATTCAAACAATGCAAAACCGAGTGCAGTGAGCAGGAGTTGCACATAACAGACTAGCACTGATGGCTTCATTTACAAAGCAGGATACTTGGCAAAGGACTCCTATTTTGTGGGGCTTTTATGTAAGGAATATGTTTTAAACCGATTTTCTATTCCCTGGTTAATAAAGTCCACTGGAAGGGAAAAGGTGCCACACCCCTGATATCAATATATAGAGATTGGAGCCAAAGAACTGGGACTTTACAGGCACCAAAATTTGGTGCCTATAAAAACCCAGTTCTTTTGCTCCTGTCTCTAATATGTTTTAAATGTTTTATCATAACTAATTGCTTTGGCTATAAAGCTGTTATTTGTATTAACAAATACATGTACTGCTTTTGTCACAATCAGCAATGTACATTTTTGTGTCTTGAATGCACAAGACGCTAAACCTGACTAGGCTGTTTTCTTGCTTAGTTCTCAAGGATCCTGACAGCAACCCATACAGCTTACTTGACAACACAGAATCGGACCAGACAGCCGATACTGATGCAAGCGAGTCTCACCACAGCACTAACCGCCGCAGGCGATCACGCAGGAGGAGGACTGATGAAGATGCATCTTTGATGGATGGGATGACTGAATCAGATAATGCCTCTGTTAATGAAAATGGCTTGGGTATGTTTTTGTGATGTGCTAGTATTTATTAACTATTTTTTCTAAGTAATTTAACTCCTGTGTACAGATACAGAAACAAATTATTTTTTTTTGGCAAGTGATTCATTGCCTAGATGTGATTTCCCAAATAATGAAGATATTGCCTCCTGTAATCTTGTTTAACAATTTTTTTATGTCAGTGTTTTTTGGTTGTGTATTATGTTCTTTATTTTGGATATTTGAAATAATTTTGTACAGATGAACAAATCTAATCATACATTCCACTTCACCACTTAGTACAGTACCCTTTTATCAATGTTTGTTCATGTGATTAGCCATCAGAAAATAGGCAGTCTCTGTCACTGACATTAAGTTATATAGGGCATGCTAAGTATCAACCAAACGTTTTAGTTCACACATGTGCAGATTGATCAGGCAGTGAGAATCTTGAATGGGGGCCCAGCTCCTATAGGCTAGAGCAGGTTTTGTGGTTTCTCCATCACTGATAGGGTACGTGCCTTTTAGTGGGGAGCTATTTATATGGAAGTAGTTCTGTGGGTTGTTTCTTTTTTTTTTTTTTTTTTTTTTTTTTTTTTTACAATAGAGAATATTTGCACAAGTAGAACCTCTTTTAAGAAAAAAAATGAAGATGATCCAGAGTACTGTATCTTTGGTTTGCATCAGAAGCTAGTCAAATGGCAGCTCCTGTTTATGGCAAGAGCAAGTTTCTAAGCATCATGACACTGATTAAATTATTTGTAAACTGTCAATAGGTGCTATAATGCATGCTCATCCATTTTAGTTCTACTCTCTGTAAAGCATGACAAAATGGTGTTTGTACTTTGGAGTGTTTTATTCATGAATTGCTTCTGACCTAGGATTTCAACTTTTTATTGAAGAAGAGTTAAGTTTTTGATGCACTTTACTATTGCAGATGATAGTGAACAAAAACCCCAGCGACGCAATCGTAGCCGCAGGCGTCGCTTCAGGGGTCAGGCAGAAGATAGACAGCCAGGTAACTGAAGTGGGTGGGATCATTGGTAACTAATCTGCATGAAAATGCACTGCTATTACATTGGGTATTTGTGCAATAAGTGGCAGTGGACAGTTTTAACATGCCTATGAATAGTAAAACCATTTTTAGTAACTTGTAATTTCTGATCTAATTACTAAAAATTGTTACCACTTGTGGAATTACTCAAATTCCTGTCCTAGTTACCACTCTGCTTTGCAGTATGTTTTCTTATTGGTCAATACTAATATCCTGATAATAGTAAAAATGATGTAAGACAGAACTATTGTGTGTGTGTGTTTTTTAGAGATTGTTCATAACCTGCACATTATTAAATGTACTGCTATTTTCAGTGCAGTTTTTCTTGCCTGTGGTCACTTATACTTGGTTAGTTTAACTGTAAATGATCTTTAACTTTTTTTTTGTTTTTACACACATTTATTATGTTATTACCTTATAGTTACAGTTGCAGACTATATCTCCAGAGCCGAATCTCAGAGCCGACAGAGAAACCTCCCTAAAGAACCACTGGCTAAGGGCAAAAAAGAAAAGGTAGGCTTTGTAACTTGGTGCCATGAAGGATTTATATTAGAGATCAACAACTGGCAAGTTGAGGAATGCTGTAGTAAATTGCAATGTGGATGCTGTAAGTCAATTCAGGCAATCAGACTAGGCCACACCCTGTGAGCAAGGCTGTGGGCAAATCTTGTAAGGGCGAGCTATGTCTCCATGAGGCTTTCCAGATTCCCCCTCTTTTCCCCTCTTTACCTGTGAGTCAATACCCCCATGAAAAAGGCTACAGCCTTCACTTTTTGTATTTTGGGTAAAATTTATCCTGCACATGTTCTTTTGTTTGCCTAGATTGACTTTTGTCATCAATGGTGGATGCTGAATTTTTAGAACTGAACATTGTAAATGTATTTCTACAGACCTCTTCCTTAACCTTTGCAACATTTAGGGCTAATTCACACACATTGTGCTGACAGATGTTTTACCTCATTGTTAATGTCTGTCACCACAGGGACACAGGGAACCATTGTTTCCTATGTGTCCTGTTCACACTGCAATGCAGCCTACTGCTGCACTTAAAATGCAGACATGCTGCATTTTATCACATCGCACAATGCTGAATTGTATGGCAGCTCATCTAAGCACACTATGATGATTATTTTGTGCTGTTGGAAGAAGATTCATTTAATGGATGTTACAAATGTTTGATACCATTTCCGCTGGCAGTATGTTCTGCATGGTTCTTTGACACAGCTGTGGATTCTTGCACTAATTGTGTAAAGACTTTCTGCATGAAGTGTTACATTATTTCATTGTGTCGCAGTTAGTTTTTTTTTTTTTTTTATCTGTATGCGGTCTATAGTCTTCCTGTGTGAACACTTGCATGTTGTTAGATTTGAACACTGATCCATCATACTGCATTCATCATTGCCTGTTCTTACCAGCTGATTTATTTATCTTCAGTTTATCAATATCAAGAGACAATCGTTTTTGCAGTAGTGAGCGATTTATTAAGTGTATTATGTATTTTCTTATTTGTTGACTTTGCAAGTGCTGTATACCAGGCTATGCCTGATACCAGTTGTTGCCATTTCTGCTAAGTATACAATTTGAAGGATTTCTTAATAGATTGGGTGAATGTTCACAAATTGATGTGAAAACAAATGTATTTATATGATCAAATTGCATCCTGTGCCTATATAAATTCAGTCACACTCTATAATACAAGGGCCTATTACATGGCTTTTTTCAGGGTTCCTATTAGAATTGAAATGGGTTTGTTTTAAGGTTACACATGTGCTTGTATAGTCAAGACCGATCAGTTGTCTATGCTGTACGATAAGGCTATAATTACACTATAGCACTTCATGAACACGCAAAAAATGGTTGTCAGACTTGCTGCTCCATTTATTGTTAATGGCACCCCAAATGCAGCAAAACAGATGCATGTTTTTTGGGTAAACGCTTGAAGCTCAAAAAGGTGCATGAGCTACGTTGCTTGCATGTGGGGTGGCCCACTGAAATTAATGGACTGCTCTATGCATGTGGATCAACGGTGTGCAAAAATACATGTATTCGCTGTGATTTTACACATTTCCAGGAAACGCCATAATGTGCATGCAAACTAATACAGATCTCACCCAATGTCTCACTGTTACTTAGCAAGTAACAATGGGAATTTTGTCTTTATCTTATCATATGTGCATATGTATACACAGGGTCTAGGGAGGGGAAGTGATTTGCAGTGATTGTGATTTTCACACTTGCTATTAGTAATCACATAGACCTTTTGTCTCAATGATACTTCTGTTTTTTGAACATATTGAAGGTGTGTGATCAGCTATAAACTAATCTCTAGACTTATCTTAATATTGTCAAGCTGAATATTAGGGCATATTTATTTTTAACACAGTTCAAGTCTTGTATATATATTCCTATTTGCTTAGGCTGGCCAGAAGTAGATCAGTTTTTTTTTAGTGGTGCACTGAAATGAAAATTCTGGTACCAAAGCAGATACTGAAAATTAAGAATGCATGTGGCCAAAAACCGAACCAAAACGTCTGCGTATGTGGGGGTAGAGAAGCTCAAATTTTATTTATTTTTTTGTATTTTTTTCTACTTTCATGTATATATATTTTTTTTTAACTTATGATTTTATTGCTATCACATGGGGGACAATAGTCCCCCATGTGATAGCATATGAGTGACAGGTCCTCTTTGTAGGGGGGAGGGGGTGGGGAGAGGAGCAGTGGAGGGGGCAGTGTATACAGAGAGGCTCCCTCACTGACTGTCACTATATGTCAGTGCTGATTTATAAATGAAATTGCCAGCTTTTTATTTTTTTTATTCACTATAGCTCACAGAATTGTCTGTCACTTTCCTTGGAGCTAAAGTAAACTTTGTTTTTTATCTCAGGGAAAGAAACTAAAGGAAAAAATCAGCACTGACATAAAATTACAGCCAGTCACTGTATACACTCCTCCTCTCCTGCCTTTCTCCACCACCCCCCTCACATCTGCAGTACACACAGTCCCCTGTATCAGCTAAATTTTTCCTATCGGCATTTTTCGGCCACCATGTTTCAGTGGCCAAAATTTCGGTGCCTCCCTAGATTTCTTTTGATCAGCCAGCAGGTTGATCGAAAAGAATGAATAGATTCCCTCATCCACACAAGCAGGTGGATAGAGGAATCGTCCCTGTTATGTTATTGTTTTTCTGCCGGCTAGAAATCCTTCACTGTCAAAATACACTTGAGTAGTGGTGAACGAAGGAGAATTTTTCAACGGGCTGCTTAGAAAGATATTAATGATTTATCTGGAATTGGAACAGTCATAGATGAATCAAAATTTGGCTGGTCCCCACTGAAACGGGTGAATTTGATCCATCTATGGTCAGCTCAAATCTTACCCTTAGTCATGTTTTAGACCCAATTAAAAAGTTTTTCAATTACTTTATTAAAGATGAGATTTTTATTCCATTGACAGTAATACCTCTGTGTCCCCAGCTCTTTTCTGATTATGCTTCTCGTTACTCTTTTAGTGAGCAGGTCCACAGATGTGATATTTTTGTGTATGGACAGTTAGTTTGATTCTCCAACATGTTGTACTGTGTTGTATTAAAGTTTAAAGGGCTACTAAAGTCACAGTAATTACTGCTCTTTATTAATGCATAATGTAATTAATGACACAAAGCGTTATTAGCATTGCTGAAATATTTTTTTCTTCCTTTTGAAAGAATCTTTAGTCCATCCCAGTAACTGCAGATGCCGATTTTTTTTTTTTTTTTTTTTTTTTTTTTTTTTTTGCATCAGCTTCCTGCTGATTACAAAAAAGGGAAAAAAACATTTCCAGAAACCTTTTTAGACGTGTATGTTCCAGGGAGCAGGACACTGCATTGGTGTAGACTTTAGCTATGCCACCTTTCCATCAGTTAGTTGTTTACTTTCTCAGACCTGCTTCTGGAAGAGTAAATAACAGACAATCAGACATTTACCAATTCATTGGAAAATGTCATTTGCCAAGAAGATGACATCTAAAGCTGGCTATACGTTAATCGAAAAAACTGAACAGATGCCCCCAAGCGCACAAGCAAGGTGGATGGAGGAATCCTCCCCGCTATATTGTATTCTAACAGTCGGGACTCCTCTGTTGGTAGAATACACTGATGCAGCCACATTGTTAGCAAACTGGTTTTAGAGAAGTCGATCATTAGATCAGCTTCTCTGTAATAAGAATGTCCATAGATGGATCAAAATTCAGCCCGTCCCTGCTGAATTGGACTAATTTTGATCCATCTAAGACCAGTTTGAGATTGTTTAGAACATATTTGTATAAATTTTGCTTTTAAATTCATTGAAAAACTCTACACCTTACTGACTATTATTAATATGGGTGATAAGATTCATCAAACCAAATTACTTCTATTAATTGTACAGGACACAGGCAAAGTAGTCCTAGAACCTGGGTTATAGGTTCATACATTCAGGTGACACTGGCAAGCTTATGAGGACATGCCCACTGGGTGCCCTCTTTATAACCCTACTGCCACTCTGTGAGTTCCCCGTTTTTGTGCTAATGGCCTAAGGTGATGACCTCTTCTTCACGGAAAAATCAATCTAACACTCATTGGGGAAGGCTTGTAATGTTGCTTTGTGCACTGAATTCTTCATTGACGTTCACCTTCACACTTAGGGCTCATGTACACTGCAGCTGATAAACTCCCGTTCAGGAGCTTTTCTGCGCTTTTTTTTTTTTTTTTTTTTTTTTCAGCAGCCCCTGAACTCTCCCTAGTGTTTTCCTATGTGTCCATGTACACATAGTCATTTACAGGCAGTTTACAGTCGGGTTTTTTTTTTTTTTTTTTTTGAACGCACCAAAGTTGCAGTCAGGAGTAGATTTACACGCGTTTATAAGCGTTTTTAACTGTTCCATATCCAGATGCTGTCCAGAGCCTTTTTTCATCATCAGAAATGCATTCAAAGCATTTTCCATGTACTCAAATGAACCTGGTACACCAGCGCAGTCAGTTCCAGGTTTTGCGTGAAGGAAAAAATGGTAGAACGTGCCGCATTATGCTCATGATGGGATCCATAGAGAATACAACCAGAAAAGACAGGCCATCTCAACACATGCTGCTCTCTCTGCTTCTGCTCTCTCCATTTCTCTCAAAATGTCTGAAATAGTTAATCTTTTACTGTTTTTCAGTGCATTGTAGGAATTTTGGAAGGTCTCCTGAGGTTTTCTTAAAAAAAAAAAAAAAAAATTCAAAAATCGCATAAACGCAATATGCAAACGTGGCTAAACAGATGTTTTTTTAACATACATTTTCCAGCAGTCAGTTTCCACCGTTCAGAGAGTTTTCCCAACGTCCCGTCTATATGAGTCCTTCGTGCAATGCATGTTGTAAACTGGGTGCTATACATGGCCAGGGACATCATCCAAAAATATATCTAACTGTCGCGCCCCTAATAATTGTCAGGTTATTGCATATATGAGCCAACACAATATATTCCTAAAGCAAATTAAATAAAGTATATTAACTTTTAGTAATAGCTTAATTATGATAGCCCCAAAAACATATTGTGATTAAAAAAAAAACAAAATGTGCTCAAACATAAATGATGAATACTGTAAAAAAAAATCTCTGATAATGAAAAGTGACAAATCCCAATATTGTGATTCAAAATAAATTATTGCAATTTCCAGTGATTCCTTAATAAGATTAAGTTATGCGCTCACCTCCTTGTCAGCCTAGAGCAGGCTTACTGCGCTTTTTGTTCACATATGGAACTTTGAATCCTGTGTTGCACCGTATGAAGAGTGGTGGGTGTCTCTTAATTGTTTCCCCGTGCTCCTATCCCCGCCGGGATCTCTCACTCCTGCTACTCTTTTGCCTACTCCTTAGTTGTTCTTATTCTGCCCATGCATCTGTATAATCCGGGAAATAGACTGGCTGACATCAAGCCTCTGACTCCCAATTAAAATCGGCATGCCTGCAAACTCTGAATGACTGGTATTAAACTTCCTCTACAATGGCTATGACGACTCTGCTCTGTCGTGCAAGGCACATTGGGAGTTGTAATTTTATTAGACTAGCAGCTACAGAACAGGGCAGTCGCAGAACTACAACTCCCGAACTGCTAGTAACTCGAGTAGTCCTAGCCAAAATACTTGTCTAATAATTGTGCACACCATATAGACATGGCTGCTCCAATAATCTCCACTTGCTTCCAAGTCCTTTGCCGAGCAGGTGCCCTGCTGATTTCTTCAACTCAGGAGGTCAGCCGCTTAACTTCAGAACTATTCAGAGAATGATTTGCATTTTCTGAATGAACTCAAAGTGTTCTCAGATTGGACAGGGCTGGGCAGTGATGTCATTCTATCTACTATGGTAGCCCCTATTCAAGGCTGTACAATTAGCCCAATTTCATTCCAGACCTTCCAACACAACATGACCTGGAACATCCAGGAGCAATTTTGGATGGCTCTGCAACACTGGACCCCTCTTGTTTGGACACCCACTCAGGGTTCAGTCAACGTGGCTGTGGTTTTCAAAAACCAACAGGGGGAACCAGGAGTCTGGCTGCCTTGAAGGAAGCAAATCAGATAATCTCAGATGGAAACTCGCTGTCCAGTGGTCTCCACTGTTCACATCCCAAACATGGAAAAAACCATGTTTCTTGGGATCCCATCGTTCGAACCAATCGGAGATATTCCCTTAGATTACATCTTCTGTAAAGTAGCTTTTTTGGTTGCTGTCACATCTGTCTGACCTGTCCTGAGTTTGCAGCTTTCTCATGGAAAGGATTCATTTCTCATACTTACAATTCATAAAGACAAGATTGTTTTTTACTCCCTTTTAATATCCTTTCTTCCCAAGGTGATATCCAAGGGAACGTTTTCTTCATAGTGTTGAAGTAGTCAGACCTGTTAGTCTATATCAAAGCTAAAGTGTCAATAAGACAGACAGATTCCCTATTTTATTTTTTCCTCAAGACACCCTACTTCCAAGTCTTACGCAGTTATGCGCCATTTACACCTGATTGGTGGGCGTTTCTTGAGCGGTTTATCAGACCTCTCGAGCCCAGCTGTGTAAGGCTACCACCTAGTCCTCTGTTCATCCTGCTCTGCCATGTCGATGTCCTCCGTATTTTGCAACTTTCAGCTGTAAGGTTCTTGCAGCAGACTCTGAAGTTGGGTCTGTTGACGTGGCACAGTTCTGTTTGCTTAGTTGTTGCCCGCCGTACTTATTCATTGCTTGGGGGGATGTCTCAGGATCTATGAACCCTTTCCTTGTGTCCTGTACTGTACGAATCAAATAAGAGATATTTTGACTTGCCTGTAAGTTCAATATCTTGGAGTACAGTACAGGACATGGGTCATCCTCCTTTCCATTCCTAGGTTACTCTACATTACTTGCTACAAGACTGAGGAGTAGGGGAGGCAGCCAGTGGGCGTGTCTTCAGAAGCTTGCCCTTGTCTAATAGCCTGAATGTAAAAGCCTATAAACCAGGGTCTATGAATACCCAGTGCCTGGGTTCTGTACTGTACTCCAAGATATGGAATTTACTGGTAAGTCAAAATTCCTCTTTAAAACTTCTGTGACATCTCTGATGGTAAATTTCCTCACTAAGTACTTACAGAGAAAAGAGGCACAGTTGTTTATGCAAAAATAAAACTGGTACTCGGCAAGAGACCTAATGATTAATTATAAATAATTAGTAATAATTCATAATTCTTTGCAGGGAGAACAGACAGCCAGATCATTGTTCCCTGTAGACAGTTTTGTGTTTTGTAAACACAGATTGCTGATCTGCAGTGTATAATCTCACACAGAAGACTTCAGCCAAAATCATTGGCTGAAATCAACTGCCAAACTCATGCTGTGTCCAATCGCAGCAAGTGGTTAATTCACACTACTGAGTGCACAGATGGGAAATGACGACTACTGGAGAAGCTTCATGGGAGTAAGCTGCAGAAATAAAACTTTCTACCAGGTGCTCTTTTAGTTAAAGCAGAGTTAATGTCTCCTATCCTTTACAGCCAAGGCAGTTGCCATGTTGGCATCAGTTTGATCTGCAGTTGACATGGTGCTGTACGTCATCAGCAGTGACACTAGCCATTTTTATGGCAAGGTGAGAACTAACATAAGCACAGCAGTGACTGTAGGGCCTCATGCACACAGGGCACCTGCTTAGCACTTAACACCTTTTCTCTTGGAAGGAGAAAATTGGACTTAAAAAAAAAAAAAAAAAAAAGGCAGTAAACACTTCTTTTTTTTATAATACACCTCTAAATGCCTGTGTGTGCATGAACACATAGGCTAACATGAAAGTACTTTTGGACCAAGTGAATCTAAAGGCTTCTATCTTTTACAGCCAAGGAGGCTGCAATCTTAGTGTCTGATCTGCAGTTGCCTTGGTGCTCTTGTGATCAACTAATACACCAGCCATTTGATGGACTGACAGTATATAGGCACACTAGTAAGTATGCCTGTTATCACTAGAGGCATGCCTTGAATGAAACATTTGTGGGAAATAGTTGAATTGGTGCATTTAGTTCTCTTTTCAGATGGAAACAAAAACCCTCAATTTCTATCTTTCTCCCCCACTTTAATTGGCTTCAATTTGTAAAATTGCTTGTGTGCTTTTTTTTTTTTTTTTTTTTTTCCTTCATAATTTTGACTTTTTCTGGCTTGCTTTTGATAATGTTTTCATTTTGCAGGTAAAGGATGTAATTGAAGAACACAGTCCTGCAGAAAAAGTCACAAATGGCCCTCGAGGGTCCTCTGGCGACAATGCTTCAAAGTCTCAGACATCAGCCCCAGAAAGAAAAGATGGAAGCAACCAAGAAGCCATACTGAACGGGGTGTCCTAAAATGGAGTTTCCTAGTTTACAGTTCCTTTACATTACATTTTACAATAGTGCTTGTACAAGCTTGCCAAAGATAGATTAAGGATCGCCAGTCTTTACACCACACTTTCAGTTCCTCCATTTGGAATAAAGAAAGGGGAGGGATCCTGATACACATGTTAAACATAAGTTGATACCTACTGTGTTCTAAATACATCATCAGATGTGCCTTGAGATAGTATACAAAACATTAAAGAAAAAAAAAAGTTAAAAAAAAAATGTGCTGGCTAAAGGAAATGTTCTGTTTTCAAATATAGCATTGAATTGGGGAGATCCTGCATAATATTCGTTCTGAAAGCATTAGCTGCTTTTGTTACATTTTTAATAATATGCAACCACTTCTTCACCTGAGGAAAAACTAGAAAATGCAGTCTAAAAGTATTTTGCACTGAACTGTAACTTCTCCATTGGTTAGGTCTGGAAACTGGTCGTTTTAATACATGTTTAATTTTTTTTTTTTTTTTTTATTAAAAAAAAGCTGTATGGAGGAAACTGCAGACCACTGGAACAGACAAATACTCATCTGCAGCTATTGGCAGTGACTGTTCTTCATTGGGGCTTTGTTTGGTTTATTTATTAAACTGTACAGTATTTAAAAATCAAACATTGCTATAAACACTAAACCGAACGTAGTCATGTCCACAAAGGTATAATCCTAACTACTGATGAAAAGATCAATTTCCAGAATGTTTCTCCTGTATAAAACTGCATATGTTAGTCCTTTAGTATGGTATTTTTATTTTTGTTTTGGTTGTTTGATGTGCAATATGTTTTTGTATGCAGGTAGTAAAAAGAAAAAAAAATAAACTTTGATCTTCCATTTTTGATTATCTGCCTAGTTTCCTATGGGGAAGATATGATAAATTCTTAAAGCTGAACTCCAGACATATATATATATAAGAAAAGCAGTTCTTTATTAGTAAAAAAAGTCCAATGTATTTTTAAATGCAACAGGTGGAAAAGGAAAACAAATAGAAATTTCCTTGATTTTAATCACTTAAATCACCTGCATAGATGCACTCGGGCACGGGAGGGCCAGTAGTAGGCTCTAGTCAGTCTCTCTGCTGACAAGGGAACGGGTTAACAAAAATGTGCAGTGTAATCTCTTCACTGTTCTGTTCTTTCATTGTACAATCTGCAGGATGGTTGTATGTTCTTGGCCAAATTATTCTGCAGTGCCATTCCTAAGGCTTGGCTATGCTGCCTGGCAGGGGTGCCTGGCACACAAAACAGACTGCAGAAAATCACAATTCCTTTGGCGGGTAAATCATTTCCAGAATGTTAATTGTGTATTTAGCTGCTTACCAGGAGTTCAGCTTTAACCCCTCAGCTACTTAGAAATCCAGCAGCAGGGAGGTTAAATATGTGTGATTTACATAATGACCTTTGATTGAAAAATTTGATCACAGTTGACCAGTTTTGAGATTTAAGTGCTTGATAAAATTCACAGGAAGTAGGTGATGACAGATTGATTCCTTTTTTGTACTATACAGATTTCCTTGAGTTTACATAAAGTCATATTTAACCCTGGTTTTTTCGTTCTGCTGATGTTGGCCACACATACCAAGGGCCCAAATACATACCTGGACAGAAATCCAAGAAATAAACATCTTTCCAGCACATACTTTTCAAGCATATCTTGTCTGCTTCTTTTTCATTTCTCACATTTCTTCATACAGCCTTTTTTTGTCCATCAGTGCTTTGTGACTTTCCTTTCTCTCTGACTTTTCTTGCTTTTAGCAAATGTGGTTCTTGCAGTTGCAGAAAAGCTTAAAATTCTCCCTGTAGGTACAAGATGCCAGGGGTTGTCTTGTTAAGTGAAGGTGGTGTCCATAGCAACTACTGTAACATAAACTGTAATCTGTTCACTGTGGACATCATTACAACTTCCAGCGCACCCCTTAAAGTGGAACTTTAGCAAGGAACATACAGTCCATGTTAATTTATGCTACCAAAACTAGTGTGTGCTGTAAATTCCCTGCAGCATTGTTCCTGTTTCTTCTTGCTGAAGGCTGCCATTTTGCTGAAGCTCAGAGCAGGAGCTCCAGTAAACCTTTAGGCAGTCAGCAGATCGCCTCTACGTTTTCGGCACATTGCCAAAAAATAGAGCAACTAAACGTGCAGAGCAGGGTGAGAAGGTATATTACTGGATTGTAAACCGTATAGGCACTTATTTTTAATGTTTTACATTGACTCATCCGGTCCCTGCTGAACCAGCCGATATTTGAACCATCTATGGCTGGCTTTGTCTGACTAAAGTTCCACTTTAAAGGCTGTAAACTTTTTTTTTTTTTTTTTTTCTCCTAAACTCCAGCACCAAAGCTTTCTTTGTATTTTAGGACAGCCTTACTTGTCCAGCTTGCTCCATAGAAAAGTTCATGACTTTCTGGTATGTAGATTTGGGATGTGAAAACTGTTAAGACACAGGAAGTGATTCACCAGCTCGCCTCATTAGTACTTGCCTTGCACCTGTTTTCCTCCTCCAGAAAATATGCAGGCTGTAGTATTGAAAACAGAAGTCTGTAAAGCCCACCATACACTATATAATCTGACTACATAATCTCCTTTTAGCTCTACCATCAATTATGGATTGCAAGGGCCTGTCTGACTGGATAAAGATTGGATAGATAGGTCTGTCCTCCTATTTTATAGTAATATAATGGTTGTGTGTGTGTATACATGTATGTATATATATATATGTATGTGTGTGTGTATATATATATATGTATGTATGTGTGTTTGGTAAGTCTAAAGGAGATTGTATAGTGTATGACCACCTTTATACATCTAAAATTAACTAGCGGCGCTTTCATTGCCATTAATTGTTAATGGCACTGCAAACACATATTTTTGCATTTTTCGTGAATGGGCTGCTCTATGCCCAATGAGCAGAAACGCTCCAAAATGCCCCCTAAAAAAACACGTGTAGGAAAATTAATTCGTGTTACGCAAAGATGTGAATGGGGCTGGTTTCTCTCCACTCCCTCCTATGTACTTGTACAAAGCTGGCCATATGCTATACAATCTCCTTTTTAGATTTACCAAAACTATATAGTTGGACACCCTTAACTGTCCAATCACTCTGTATCCAGTTAAGCAGGCCCTTGCACTACACAGTGGATGGTAGAGCAAAAGGAGATTGTACAGATTGTATAATGTATGGTGAGCTTTACAGACTTTTTGTTTTCAGTACTACAGCCTGCATGTGAGTACAGGGGTTGGTGGGAACAATTTCCTGGCGGAGGAGAACAGGTACAGGGTGTGTGCTAATGAGGTGAGCTGGCAAATTACTTCCTGTGTCGTAACATTTTTCACGTCCCAAATCTACATACCTGTCCAGCTGGCTCCATAGAAAAGTTTGACTTCCTGGAGGCAGTCCTAAAATACTAAGCTTTATTTTCTGCAATAGAAATACTGTGCATTAATGGTAAATGGAGCTGGAAATCGGGGTGAAAAAGGTGAACTTAGGCTGAAGAAGAGAACTGGACAGCATATTCATCTTCCTTAAAAGGCTGTTATTTTAGCAGTTCCAAATATGACAGTGTGATTTAGAGTGGTTGTAAACCTCAGACATTTGTCTGCTGCCTGCTCTTTTGCCATCAGCATGAATCGCTTCTCACATGTTTTCATGAAACCAGGAGAAAAATGGTGACAGGGCAGGGATCTCCAGCTGATTGATAGTCTCAGCTCTTTTTCTGTCTGCTGTGTGAAGGGGGGATGTCCCTCCCCTCCAGTCAGCTCTCAGAGCGCACCTCACTGAGCTCTGCAAAGTGCAGTTTCAGCTCTCTGCCACCTTTTTATTTTCCTGACTGCTCCGAGTTTTATAAATTCTGCAGTTTGAATGGCTGTAGACAAGAGAATGCTACAGATGATCTGGTACAACTTATGTGGATTTGTTTCATCTGTGTATCACCTGAGGCCAGTCACTTCACTAAGTATATGGAAGGGTTTACAACCACTTGAAAGCAGGAAGCGGATGCTGATTCAAATCAATGAGGATAGCCTGTCACCTTCACAATTTTTGTTTTATTACTTTGCTTTAGAAATGTTGGTTACTTATCTGCTAGTAATCGTTTTATTGGTTAATCCATGAAGTACCAGTTGCCATTTTGAGACGGTACTGTGAAAATATTTCCAGCAACTTTTCAAGATGAATGTTTGGTTTACGCTGATGTCGGTGCTGGAGTTTCCGAATTGCAGTGACTGTCAGGGATATGCCTTTAAGGGGCTAGGCCAAGCCTAAAGAATGCTCTACAGCACTTTGAAAACAGAGGAATTCATTAAAACAACTTTTTGGTGGTACAGTCTCTCTAAAGGCCAAGTTCAGTTTTGTGAAAGAATAATGTGCATAACTTTACAGGGAAAGAAATGTGCATTTTAATTTTTTTTTCTCCACAGTAGCCTGCAGAGCATTGCACCTGCGATCAGTGGATAATGTGTGTAATTCCAGGCTCTTGCACACAATGCCTACAGCTTTTTTTTCTCATACCTCCAAAAATGTGCTTTCTCTAGTCCTCTTCCAGGATGGCACACCTGAGGGATGACTAGCTCCACCTGAGAGGAAACAGTCAAGACAACAGTTTAAATTCCCTACCCTTCCCTCCACTCCTCAGTTTTTGATTCCGTTTCCCTGGCAGCAAAACGTTTGTTTTTTTTGGAGACCTAAGGCCTGGGCTTGGAAGTTCCCCCCTGGGAGCTTAAGCAGCTGAGCTGGGGAGGGCAGGCTGTGTAGCTGGGGTCACTCACCCACTCCAGGGGTCCCAGTATGGAGAAGCCTTCTTGGCACAGGGGAGGTATGCCTGGTGTTCTGGGGATGGGCACCTTCCCTTACTTGTGGCAGTGGGGAGGCATGACTAGAAGGGGGACCAGATCACGAGGTTGCTTTTTCATGGGTGCTGTGGGACCGGTGATTGAGAATTTGCGGCCCGTGGTGGAGGCCACTATTAAGCATTGCCAGGGCTGGA